ATTTGTTTTTTAGAATAAATTTTTTCAACTAAGTCATTAAAGGAGAGATAACTCTTTCAGTAAAAAATTGTACTTGACTGATAGAGGGAAATATTTTTTTACTTGTAGCAAAAAAACAAGTACGGTGACACCATTTTATCTTAAAACATATTATAAAACCTATCTTCTCACAATTTATTTCGAAATTCTATCTCATAGATTTCTTTTTATGCACAAAAATGTGTTTTTTCATGATCATTGTAAGCAAATTAAGGCAATTTTCTACGACTCACAGTTTGAAAAATAGGACGGTGACCTCTCCTTTGTATTATATGTTTGAAAAGAGCATAGTAAAATCTTCATTGTGGCAAAGTATAAGAAAATTCTATCTCGGGAAACATATACCAATGATCTACCTTAAGAATAATTTCGAAAAAAAAAAACCAATCAGAATACAAGCCCCAAACTGCTTCTGACGAAAAAACTAAACTCGTATTAAACCTGGTTAGAAAAAATTTGCCCTGCCAAATCTTGATTTTATAATCTGTTAGACAGCGTTTTATTTTTCATTATAACTATGATGTTTAAAAATTCTTATATGCTCAGGTTTACCTTAAGTTCACGACAATTTTTTGTATTACCAATTGGCAAAAACAAAAATCGTGCATAACCCCAAAGAACTAAATCGAGATCCAAAACTTTGTTTTTCTAATAAAGCTTTGATAGCCGTCTACAATATCATGGCGAGCTTTATTAAGAACATAAAACGTAACAACAGTTCTGTAACCATTTGGAATAATAATTCCAAATAACAAGTTAATGTTTAGGCTTGAATTGAAATATTTTACATTTGAAGTTAAATTTAATCAGTCATAAGAAACTCTCCGATAACGAACTTACGAAATGGGTTTGTTTTGGAATATTTTTGGATGTTGGACATTTTTTTGTCTCCGAAGTTTCATGAGCTGAAAGTTGTGTTATAGATATTTATCATACAAGTTTAAAATAATCAACAAATACAAGCATTCATTAATTTTATGTTTCGGCAATTGGACCCGATATTTTGATTATTCCGTTGTATACAGCTGTATATATGGTTGTGTATATCAGTGCATCTTTTATCCATTACATTTTTGTACTGAACGGCAAAGAGTACATTATTTTATCATATTTTCAAAACCATAAATAATGATTAACCCTTCCACATTGTATATTTGGCTGTCCCAAGTCAGAACCCTCTGATTTAGTGGTTGTCGTTTTTTTTAACGGTTTCTCATATTTGTTTTTTGTCTATTGTTTTGCTTAATTTGTTCTGAGGTTGCCCTGTTACGACACTGTCCCATGTCAGGGGAGGATTGGATGCTAACAAAAAAGTTTAATTCACTGCATTTCAAACATATGTCCTAAGTCAGGATCTTGTTGTACAGTGGTTATCGTATGTTGGTGTAGTTAATTAGTGCTTCTCGTATTTCGTTTTTAATAGATTAGACTGCTGTTTTTCCTGTTTCAATTGTTTTACTAGCCATTTTGAGGCCTTTGATAACTTGTTGTGCTGTGTAAACCAAGGCTCCGTGTTGAAGGCCGTACCTTGACCTTTAATTTAATTGTTAATGTTTTATACATTGTAATTTGGACGGAAAGTTGTTTTGAAACTACTACCACATCCTCTTAATTATTGTCAAACCAGAACTCGCCTGCACACAATTTTAAATGATAATGTCAACTTTATATAATTGTTGTACACTTTGATGGAATATATTTCCAGACTAGACAATTGGTACATGTATGGAAGTTTGCCAAATTTGAAATCCTACAACATGTCCTAATTTTTTATAATGAAGATAAATATTCAAAATGAAGCTAATGAACATGGACCAAAACAAATACTATTATTTATGCAACTGCTTATCGTCTATAGTACAGTAGCTTTTTACAAAAGTGTGTGGTTGATATTATCTTTCTTTTTTACACCTAGAAGACAACCTACATTTTTCGACACACATTTTATTTATAGTAATACATTTAACAATGCAGAAAATTTTCTAACACTCAACCGAAAGCCATGTCTCCAGGTACATACTTTTGTTCTAAATGAACTAAATAAACTAATACTTTTTTCAGTAGTTTCGAGTACTCTCGGTTATTTAATTAGTTTCATTTTGTTTTGGAAATGTATTAGTAGCCTGCCACGCCCAGTTGGTGTTTTTGTGTTGTGCTGTTACACCTCTGTCCCAGATCAGGGGTGGGTTGGTGCGCTTTCATGTATGTTTAATCCCGTTACATTCTAAATGTGCATTTCACGAGTCAGTAATTCAGTGGTTGTTGTTTATTGATGTATATCATATTCGTTTTTCATTATGTTGAACATAAATCAGGCCGTTAGTTTTCTCGTTTGAACTATTGTACATTTGTTATTTCGAGTCCTTTAGTAGACAATGCAGTATACGCTATACTCATTGTTGGGAGCCGCACGGTTGCCTATAGTTGTAAATGTCTGTGTAATGTAGTCTATTGTGGATAGTTGTCTCGGAGGCAATAATACTACTTCTTCTTTTTATTTTTGATGGGTTAATGTCACAATAATTGAGACCCAGCAGGCAAAACTTTATAAACACACATAACAAACATACAAAGCAACTTAATATAAATTCGAACAAAAATACAAACTAATCTTACAAAGATGCCAACGAAAGAGGTGTAGTAGATAATACATTTGAAATTTGACAATGGCCGTCAACAGAAAAATGCAATATAAATGTAAAGAGTTGAAGTATAACGCAGGTAGAAATCGTATCCATTCTTCCATTACAATGCTTTATATACAAACTTATTTTTTTTTAAATTGATATCAAACCGGCAAACCTAATAATCAGCAGTTCCAAAATATTGCACATTTAACCAGTTCGAGTGTCATTGATGATACTTTTGTTGACCAAAAGTGCGTCTGGCGTACACCATTCAAGCCTGGTATCTTTGTTAAGTCGTAATGATTTATGTACAATAATTTGTGCAATGGTACTGGTTCAGATACATTCGCAGTAAAATGACATGATATCGTATTTTAAATATCTATCTTGATATAAAAAAACAGTTCGTATAATTATGTGTGTATAGTAGCATTGTTGGCGGGTGTGTGTTTGTGCTATAAACGAATCAAGTCAATGTTTTGGAAGATACCAACCCTACTGTATAAAGTCTATTATATTGAATATTTATTCATATTTTATTTATTAAAAGTATTAAACAAATACAAACCATAATCAATTATACTACCAATTTTTAAAGAAAAAAAAAACGAAATGACAATAGTAGAAGTAGTATATGAAAATTAAATAACATTTTGTACTATTTACTTAATGCGCACAATCTATTACGATGGTCTGATTGAATGTAAACAAGCATAAATATATCACAAAGTTTTCCTCCTGAGTGATCATCAAAGGAAATTTATTCAAAATAATATAGATTCAACGTATAGGATACTGAAATTTTAAATCACACGCATAATAAAGACTTTGTAAGTTTATTCAATATTGAAAAGCAATTGAAAGAAACTAAAAAAAAAAAGATTTAAATGAATCATCATCAAGCATGTCAATGAAAATATTTATTTAAATATTTCTATTGCGTTATTTATATGTATTAACTGTATATGTTCATAATGAACTTGTACTTACAAATGTATTACTGTAGCATTACAATTCGGTAAATATTTGAGTTAGAATTTATGGCTATTTATGTTAAAAAAGAAATACGAAAGATACCAGAGGGAAATAAACTGACAACGATTTGCTAAACATGACAAACAGACAAACAATAGTACACAAAACAAACATAGAAAACTAAAGACTCAGCAACACGATCCCCCTTTGGAAAGGTGATCAGATTATAAACAACATGAGCCATCCTTCGTGTTAACGCCAATAATGTGCAGTCTTTTTTATTCACACAAAGTTCGTGCATGAGTTATATATAAGAATAATTAAAATGTCCGGATTGTTTGACTAAAGATGTGTAATTTTATATAATAAAAGTTATGTATGTTGTTCGATATTCAATGTTTAGATGCCAAAAGTGCAAAAAAAAACTGAGCATTTTTTTTTCTTTTACAGCTCTAACACATTAGCTTTAAAACAATTAAAAAAATGGACATAATTTAGAAAAAAACCATTGCCAAACTAAAAATTAAATTCGAGTGCAGGTTTATTTTAATCATAATCGTATTTCATACAATTGAATAATATACAAATGTTCAATAGAATGTAACGATTGCATTCAGATATTGCACATTAAGCTTTACATATAATCTATGTAGCAGAATAGATTACATAATACATCAGGTTTTTTCAGATGCACGAACATTTAAGTTGTTTCTGGTTCTTGCATAAATTCTCGACGACTTTCATAGGTTAAATGATGAACAAATAAACATGATAAACGTGAATTAATAATCTGAATGACCTGACTTTGGTACAGTCTTAACACATATATTCTTTTACGCAGTTGCAAATAATTACAAAGGAAACATACTATATCAAAATGATGACAAGATTGTAGCAAAAAAATCAATATGACCTGGAATATTTTCTAATCTTGATCAAATTGTTGGTCTCTCGATAATTCCGCATTCATGTGTAACATATAGTGAAAAAAATGTAGTTCACGTTGAAAGCCAAACTTACAATGTTAACTGGTAATTGAATAATAACCACAACTTCGTTTTTGCGATAATCATTTTTGATATTTGTCAAAATGAACAGTCAAACTACGATAGTGTAAGAAGGGAGGGTTGGTAATATTGTTTGATTTTATATCTTTTATTTTAATTGAAGTCACATTGAACACAGTGAGAGCAAAAGTTTGTATCACTCAAAAGAATACAAAAAAATTTGAAATATAAAAAATAACAATGGTTCAAAATAATAAACGTATACTACTATAATGGAAATGATATAAGAGATGACAGTATTGTTTCAAAGCTTTATACATATCAAACACTGTCAATTATAAAATATACTTACGTGTTTACAGAGCCATCGACCTTAACTATTATTTACGTATTATACTTACACAAAACTTCCTTGTTTAAAAAAAGAAAACGGGGATTCACAAGGATCAGATTTGGAACGTGATTTGATAATCTTTTTAGATGTGCCTTATATTAGTTTATTAGTGTGAAACGACTTGCTTCAACTGTATTTTCCATCGACTTACATATTGCAAAATACAGTGAGAACTGTTAGTGAATATTAGAATATACATATACCCGAATTGTATCTCAATAATATTTAGACTGGTTAAATGTCTTATGCCAATGATACATTTTTTCACTCGATACATATATACACAAAGAAAAAAGTTAAGCACCCCACTTTTTTTCGAATTGACAAAAATTACATTAAGGGTCATGGGATTCCGGAACCAATTGTGGCAAAAATAGTTTCGCAGCCTGTTTGGACTTACCATTACCTTTGAGAAAAACACAACACATTGCAACAAAAATGACAATTTAATGACTAGATTGTCACAAAACCACAAATCCAGTTTAAACACTAAAACATGTCCATTTTAAGTATGGACCTTCTGAGTTCGTTTTGCATGATACTATTGTCATTTCACTAAAAAAACGTTCATTGTAAGTGTGTTAACGATATCCATAGTTCAATATTCAATATCGGGTGAAACCAACACGTGTTTGAATGCAGGCCTCAACCCTGCATCTCATCCTTCCAGTCAGTCGTCGGATTTCTAGCTGGGGTACTTGCCGCCATTCCCGGTGCAATGCTGCTGCAAACTGACGTAAATTTTGTACAGGAGGTTCGACTGCCTGTACCCGACGGCCTTACGTGTCCCAAATATGCTCTATTGGATTCGAATCCAGGCTCATGGCCGGCCATGGAAGAACAGCTACTGATTTGCCTTAAAGAGATGCGGTAACCACCCTTGAACGATGCGGCCTAGCGTTGTCATTCATAAACACAGGTCTTGCAGCTAATGGGTGGTTATCTAAATGAGGTACAACTACTTGCTGAAGAAATTCTCTGATGTATTGGTCACAATTAGGGTTTCCTCGTATAGTCATCAAGTCCAATTTGCATTCATAAGAGATGCATCCCCGTACCATCACAGAGCCTCCACCGTACGGGACAGTTGCTTGGATGTTCCTTGGGGGTATATGCTGTATTTGTCTGTCTCCAAACTCTCAATCTTCCATCTGTAACATGCAAAAGAAACCGGCTTTCGTCTGACCAATGGATCTTGCGCCAATTCCTCAAATTCCAACCATGACGAGCTAAGTACCATGCCAAACGCGGTTGTTGATGTCGGTCAGTTAACATGGGACGTCTGATTACCCTCCTTGACTACAACCGGTTCCTCAAGGATCTGGTTGATAGCTGTCTATAAGGTAACCATTCTCTTTTCAGAACAGGACTTTTTGCGAATGGCTCTCGTCTAATCAGGTGTTGCAGTGCCCTGTCTTCACGCTGCGATGTCATCAGTGGTCTACCGGATCTTGGCGAGTCTTTCACGTTATTGGTTTAGATGTGTTTCCTCACAAGCCTGCTGAATACAGTTTAATGGTAGCCCATCTGACGTCCAATAGCTTTATAAGGTAATACTGATTAACACATGCCGATAATTTGCCATATTTGAGCCTCCGAAATTCGTCTTCGTACCATGTTCACAGAGTGTGAATAAACTTTTCTAACCGCCGGACTTAAATACTCAAATTTGAAGCACGGGGAAACTGCATTTTGTAATTTGCATTGGAGGCGTGATTCACATGGCTTGAATGATACGTCGATATCGTAATGACCGGTCACACCTATATGGTCACATCTTTTTAAAGGAACATTAGTCTTGTTAAGATCAATATTTATATTCAAATTAACATTTTTGGTGAACAACTATAATGCAATATATCAGGGGGTGCTTAACGTTTTTCTTTGTGTATATATATATATATATTGAAACAAAATATTAAAGGATTTTCGTAAACAATCATATCAGAATACAAACCCCAAATTGTTTCTGACGAAAAACAACACTTTTTGGTCAGGAAAATTTGCGCTGCCAAATCTTGATTAGAATCTGTTAAACGGCGTTTTATTTTTCATTATAAAAATTTTGTTTGAATGTTCTTATATGCTCTGGCTAACCTCAAGATCACAACAATCGTGCGTATTTCCAATCAGCTTATGCACATCAAAAACAAAACTCTTTGAGATCCAAAACTCTCTGTTCCTTTAATAAAAAAATTTAGATAACAAATTGAGGTTTTAGACTTGATTTTAAATATCCTACAATTTGAAATTAAACATAATTAGACAAAAGAAAACCTCAAATAAACCACTTAGAGTTGGAATGTTTTGCGATGTTTGAACTTTTATTTCTTGTTTTCGACTTTTCAAAAGCTTAAGGTTTTAGTATGGATATCTATCATAAACGTTCAACAAATGCAAGAATACACTGCTTTATTTTCCAAATATCATGATTAATCTGCTGTATAAATAGTTATGTATATCAGTGCATCCTTTGTCATCTTTTATCCATGTACATCTTTAACTGGACGGCCGAGAGTTTTTCAAAACCATGAATAATGAGTAATTCCGCCCCATTCTATTAGCCCCTCCACATTCTATATTTGCCTGTCCCAAAACAGAATCCTGTATTTTAGTGACTGTCGTTTTTTTTCGCGGTTTCTCATTTTTGTTTTTGTTTATTGTCATGCATAATTTGTTCTTAAGTACATGATGCAGTCCATTACACCCCTGTTCCAAGTCAGTGGGAACAAATAATTTCAAACCCGCAAATTTTTATGAATCTGTCCTAAGTCAGGAGTCTGTTGTTCTGCTGTTGTCGTTTGATGGTGCAGTTCATAGGTCTTTCTTTTTTTTTATATAAATAAGACCGCTGGTTTTCCTGTTTCAATTGTTTAACTAGTCATTTTGGGGCCCTTTATATCTTGCTGATGGGTATGAGCCAAGGCTCCGTTTTGAAGGCCGTACTTTGACCTATTATTGTTCAATTTTGATACATTGTTATTTGGATGGAGATTTGTCTCATTGAAACTCATACCACATCTTCTTCTTCAAACCAAAAGTCGCCTAAACAAAATATTAAAGCATATTGTTAACTTCGTATAAGTGTTTGTACAATGTAATGGAATATAATTATAGACTTGTCATTTACGTTCACGTAATTTTGGTCTGTGTATGCATGTTTTCCTATATGGAGAACATACAACATGTTCTAATGTCTAGAATGAAGATAGATATTCACGATGAAGCTTATGAACATGGACCAAAACAAATCATTTCATGAATGGAACTGCAGATCGTCTACAGTATGATAAAGTTTTACAAAGGCGTATGGTTGACATTATCTTTCTTTAGTCACCTGGAAGACAACAAACGACAAAAATTTTCTTTATACTAATGATAAAAAAAAATTCTCCAACACGCAAGAAAAGCCATGTCGCCAGGTACATACTTTTGTTCTTGATAAATTAAACAAACTAATACTTTTTTCATTCGTAATATCGGACACGAAACCGAAATGAACAGAAAGATTTACTTACCAAAACTAACTTCCTTGTTGTGAATAATTGTTTTGTATTCAAATATTTTCAAATAGATAAAACATTTCTTTTGATTGAGTTAAACCATTTCAATTGATATTAAATAGTGTGTCTCTACTATGTTGTGATGTTACAGTATTGTTTCAGAAAAGGGTGAAGGTTGGTAATGTTTAAACCCGCTGCATTTGTTTGCACCTGTCCTAAGTCAGACATCTGATGTTCAGTAGTTGTCGTTTGTTGATGAGGTGCATAAGTGTTTCTCGTTTCTCGTTTTTTATATAGATTAGACCGTTGTTTTTTCCCGTTTGAATGGTTTTACACTAGTCATTTTTGTGGCCCTTTATAGCTTGCTGTTCAATGTGAGCCAAGGCTCCGTGTTGAAAACCGTACTTTGACCTATGATGGTTTACTTTTACAAATTGTGACTTGGATGAAGAGTTGTCTCAGTGGCACTAATACGACATCTTCTTATATCCATATACATCAGACAAATAAAAACAAAAGAACACATACAAACAGACGACTACATAGATATGTATAGTGGTCAACACATCTTAGGTGACTTAGATATACACATAAGAATGCTGTTCTAACCTTTAGAATATTTTGTAAAATTCTTAAATAAGCTGTGCAAAAATACATTTTAAATTACGAATGTGGCGCAGTAAATACAAATATTGTTAAAATTTTAAAGATAGCACTCAATTACAAAATATAAATTGAAGTCATATGTTGATCAATTTTTTATAAACATTTTATATGCGTATAGTTCATTTATTTTCTCAGTGTTAAAAGTATGAATAATAACTATGTTGATCAAAGGGCAATCATTTTAATCGTATCAAGATATTTGCAACATGGTTAGTAATTTAAAAGATTTTGCGAATATTTATCCTTTTCGCGATAACATCGAACGTATCTTTTCTTAACATATCATGTGTGTATGCTACATCGTCCGCAACATAGCAAAATGTCTGTATCAAGTCAGAAATATGACAGTTGTTATTCATTCGTTTGATGTCTTTTCTCTTTTGATTTTGTCATTTTATTAGGGACTTTCCGTTTTTGAATTTTCCTCGGAGTTCAGTATTTTTGTGATTTTACTTTTACTTGACGGAACAGAAAGGCCTAGGTAAAATACGGTAGTTTCGTCATTTTGTATACGTCAATACTTCCTTGTATGGGTTTTATTTTCGATATATAGAGAGTTCATCCACCTGAGACATTTAAAATGAACCTTAAGAATCCATCCATGTTTATAACTAAAATGTAAGCCTTTTATTTGAAACCGGACTAATGATATATAATTTTAAGATACATTTTATGAACACAAAAGTATACCTATGAGAATAGAAAAAAAATTTAAAGAAAATAAAATAGAAAAGTATAAAACGTTTAATTCCAACAATAAACGGTAATTTACATAATACTAATCTTAAAGGGGCACTAGCTGTCAAATTAATGTTCACTGTTTTGACTCAAATTCTCATGTTTGATATAT